AGACATAAACAGCCCCTCCCCCTCCCAGACATATACAGCCGTATAGCCTTGGACTCATACAGCTCACTGAGTACATGATACAGCTGCAGATATCACAGACAGGCGTATCATGTGTGTACAGTGATTGGAGCGTGTTCAATATCCTCCCAGAACCGGCCACATACAAAGGAGACATCACACAGAGCCCGGGGGGTCAGCGACCCCTCCACCGCTGTCACCCGGGATTACACCTCCACCACTGAGGCCTGCTGGATGACCGCGGGTCCAGGTACAGCTCCAGCATCAGTCCCGGTCCATACTGGAAGTCATTGCCACAGTGTTACCATTCAATACAATGTTACAATATATACATTATTTGTGATGGTAATCCATTTGCCATAAGGGCAAGTAAACCCAATACTGACCTGAGGTATGCCTTGATCCGGATGGACAGTATGCCAATGAGGGGGCATACTCTGTGAAATCTTTGAATGAAGGGACCGGGTGGGCGGGTCGTGCTGCCGAAAGCCGTGCCCAGGTGAGTCTACCTGCCTGTTTTATGTGCGAGAGGAGGGAACGGACTCCTCCCACAAATACAGGCTAATCAATTAGCCTTTAATAATAATAACTAATAATAAGTAAATAATTAAAAAAATTAAGTAAAAAATAAAAAAACAAAATAATTATAAATAAAAAATAAGATAAAAAATTATATAAAAAAAAAGGTAAAAGATGACAAGATAAATACAAATTTTAAGAAGTAAAAAAGTGATAAAGTTTTTTTAAAAAAGAAGAAAGAAACAGAAAAAAATTCAAACCAACCCTGCCACCCCCACTATCTGGTTGGCATTCTCTATGGAGGGGGGAAGGGTTGGCAGGTAGGGGGGGGCTCATTGTGGAACCTGGCATTGGGGCAGCAGGGTGAGTAACTCCGGCCCCTGATTATCACACAATATTGCAATCCATCAAAATATTCCCGTCGCAGTCACTCATGCGCGCTGCACACGCAGTTCTGCTGCGCCTATAAATACAGCCTGAGGTCTCTCTGCGTGAGATGCGCCATTTCTGATGCCGTCATGCTGATCCAGCGGCTTCACCGCTTACCGTTAAATCACCAGGATTATAGAATGTTCATAATAAAATGATATTGTAATAAAGAGGACCTGTCACGCCGTGCGTGTGACCAGTCATGAGGATGCGGGCGAGGACAGGCTGCCGTTTCCACAAACGTTGGCTGAACATTCGGCGCGCGGGAGGAATTTATGTTTATTAAATGATATTTGTGGAATGATGTTATTTTTATCTGCGGAACGCCGTCGTGATACGCCAAGATCTCCTGCGACGTGCACGACGCGCGTTCTGCTTCCCCCCCCCCCCCG